TGGTGAACCCTACTGATGAAAACCAACTGTGGCACGAAAAAGCAGAAGCCAACATTTAGATCGGTTTAAGCTGTTAAAAAGTTGCTAAATAAGACATGACTTTTTTTTCTTCCTACTGTTCTTATATCCTCTACCTATTTTTAAATCAGATTGTTTTTCTGAAAGAAATTTCTTTTGTTTGCATTCTTTTGACTTGGGGCATTCTGCACAAAAAAACTAGAAAGATTGAGCTGAAAACAACTATAGAATGAAAAAAATGCAATTTAGGCTGAATATTGCAAAAGAATTTTTAACAGTGATCTGCATCAGCCTCGCAGCAAGGGAACCACGTTGCCTGGCATACTTAAAACCTAAAACTGTAACAACTGCTGTTAGGCAGAGTCTGGTATAAATAAGCAGAAGGCTACAAGCATGTTAACACTGTTACTCTTCAGCTGGGAAAACTACCAGCACAAAGCGTTCAGGATCTTCCCCTCTAGATCCTGCGAGCCTACCGGTAACAGAAAGGTTACACATTCCAGAAACCCGAGGGCGTGACCCACGATGCTCTACGCTTTGGTAACCTTTCTCTGCTTTTTGGTTCTCGTATTCAGCAGTATCCTGACACCGACCTTGGCAGATCCTTTCACAATACAGGCAAATAACTTACAGAGAGTTATACAAAAGGGTCAGTGTTCAGGAAACGAGGAACAAGAGATGGTGACAGAGGGAAGTCTGCGTGACACTTGACAGCCTTGAAGAGGACAGCTGTTCGCGGAACAGCACAACCCACGCACTGCTCAAGCAAAAGCCTTAATATTTGGTGTACCTGAAACGTCTTTGGAATTCCTCCAACATTGTAGTGAACCACTAGACTCACTTTGTTGTCCTTCTCCACAATTTCAAAGCTCCCTTCTTTCCATTTTGTGATCCCAGTCTGCATGCTCCGCATCCGGACAGGCCCGTGCACCTTCAGCGGAGCCATGCTTGCTCACGGAAAAGAGCTAACAGGAGTAAGTGTGCTCCACCTTAAAATTTAACCTGTTAAAAAGGAGAAAATCGTAACTAGGCTGGACAGATAATCTCTACGGAAAGGCACAGGCGTGGCGTGCAGCTGCTGCAGAAGCTCGGTAGAACTGTTCCGCCGGTGTTTTCAAACGCGGCGAAGGAGAGCTAGGCACAAGGCAGGGAGACTTTAAGGCTGCCGAGGCCTCCCGCAGCC